CAGTAGGAATCACAATCATGGGAACGACTGCTGACCTGACAGTTGTGCAGAAAACCATCATTGACACCCTCCAAAAGGAGGGAAAGCCTCAAAAGGTAATTGCAAAAGAAGTTGGATGTTCCCAAAGTGCTGTATCAAAGCACATGAATAGAAAAAGTTATGTGGAAGGGAAAAATGTGGAAGAAAAAGGTGCACAAGAGCAGGGATGACCGCAGCCTGGAGAGGATTGTCAGGAAAAGGCCATTCAAAAGTGTTGGGGACTTTCACAAGGAGTGGACTGAGGCTGGAGTCAGTGCATCAAGAGCCACCACACACAGACGGATCCTGAACATGGGCTTCAAATGTCGTATTCCTCTTGTCAAGCCGCTCCTGAACAACAAACAATGTCAGAAGCGTCTTACCTGGGCTAAAGAAAAACAGATCTGGTCTGTGGCTCAGTGGTCCAAAGTCCTCTTTTCTGATGAGAGCAACTTTTGCATCTCATTTGGAAACCAAGGACCCAGAGTATGGAGGCAGAATGGAGAGGCACACACTGAAAGATACTTGAAGTCCAGTGTGAAGTTTCTACAGTCTGTGTTGATTTGAGAAGCCATGTCATCTGCTGGTGTTGGTCCACTGTGCTTCATTAAGTCCAGGGTCAACGCAGCCGTCTACCAGGAGATTTTGGAGCACTTCATGCTTCCTTCCGCAGACGAGCTTTATGGGAATGCTGACTTCATTTTCCAGCAGGACTTGGCACCTGCCCACACTGCCAAAAGCACCAAAACCTGGTTCAATGACCATGGGATTACTGTGCTTGATTGGCCAGTAAACTCGCCTGACCTGAACCCTGTAGAGAATCTATGGGGCATTGCCAAGAGAAAGATGAGAGACATGAGACCGAACAGAAGAGCTGAAGGCCGCTATTGAAGCATCCTGGTCTTCCATAACACCTCAGCAGTGCCACAGGCTGATAGCTTCCATGCCAAGCCGCATTGAGGCAGTAATTGCTGCAAAAGGGGCCCAAACCAAGTACTGAGTACATATGCATGCTTATACTTTTCAGAGGTCCTATATTGTTCTATGTACAATCCTTGTTTTATTGATTGCATGTAATATTCTATTTTTCTGAGATTGTGGATTTGGGGTTTTCATGAGCTGTAAGCCATAATCATCACAATTATGACAAATCATGGCTTGAACTATCTTGCTTTGCATGTAATGCATCTATCTCATATAATAGTTTCACCTTTAAGTTGCATTACTGAAATAAATGAACTTTTGCACGATATTCTAATTTTTCAAGTTTCACCTGTATGTAACGTTTTTTGTCTATGGCTGCTGGTATTGTCAGAACACATTCCTTAAAGGACAAGTTCACCTTTGGGAACACGTTCCATGTTCCACTCATTTTTAGGGTGGAACATGTTCCCTTTCCTGCAGCTCTCCTCCAGATTCCCCTCTTTGTTATAGGGAGCCAGGGATCATTGTCCCCATCAGCTGTTACAATGTGTGGGGAAAAAAACAAAAAACCGTGGCCGTGCGAGGCTCCACCCACACGTCCACGTCATTGATTCACAGAGTTCTGTGAATGAATCCACTACAAGTACAGACAGCCTTTGCAGCTGGCGGCTTGTAGTTCTCAATGAACTACAAGGGCGTTAGTGAGTATCCTTGTAGTTCATTGATTCTTCCTGGACTGAAGTAACTGTAAAAGCAGATAGCTACACAGGCAGTCTTGCAAGAGCCTGTCACCCCACCTGCAATCTGCTGCTTATGGGTGCAATGATTTACAGGCTCATAAAATAATAATAAATGCACAGTTTGTTACCTACAAAAAAATGTGCATTTATTATTATTTTTTTTTTTTTTAAAGGCAAACTTATCTCTTAAATGGTTAGTCCACCAAAAACTGATTAATTTAGTGTTAGTGGTAGAGCCTGGTGGGCTGAATGAACCCTCGGCTCTTATATGTGTTCGGTATCAACAGCAAAATCTCTCTAACATAATTCCCAATTCTGCTCTTGTCCTCCTTTTAGTTTTGGGTGTTCCCACCCACCTCTGTACTTGTATTCCCCATTAATTAAAATTCATTTCAAAACTGTCAAGGAGAATGGGAATCCCTCATAAAGGCAACAGCAGGTGTACAGACCCGGGAACACAAGCACAAAGATCTCACCAGTCATAGGAATGTAACACATTTCAGGTGGTTTTACTCTTCAGTTTCGACTAAAATCCAAGTTAAAATTTAGATCAGTGGTCCTCAATCTGTGGATCCTCAGGACCCACATTTGTCCTTGGTCATCAAGTTGTGATCCAAAAATAATTTAATTTCCAAAACATTATAATTTATTCCACAAAACAACTTGTGCAGTATCCTACAATGCATATGCACTTTGTAAACAGTAAACAAACTTCTTCCTGCCAAAATGGATAGTGTAGTAATCACATTGCTAGTGAATATGCAAATGCTGTTCAGGTAAAAACCCAATATAATAAACGGTAATTGAAACATAAGAAATTAATTAGATCTAATAGGAAAGCAGGGGATGCTTCTTACTCTTGATAGATGTCCCAAAGTCTGGGGTGATGGTAGACAAAGCAACTCTGAGGTCGTGTTCAATGTTCATTCTGTTCCTATTTTATGTCTTCAGCTGAACCAGAAATGAGAAGCCACTCTCACAAAAAGGTAGTTGTCCTGAATGGTAGAATGATTTTGACAGCAAGGCGGCTTGTAGTTGGAGGGATATTCCCTTTCCATGCCATGCTTTAGCCCACCATTTCATGCACCCCTTCTTTTCCCCTTTTATGCCCTTTCCTTATCCCCCTTTCACACCCTACTTTAATACCCACCTTGACCCCCTTTTCATGCCCTCGCCTTTCATGGTTTCCGTCAGCCCACCCCTTTCATGCACACTTTTAGTTCCCACCACCTCCATCCCTTTCCTGTTTTCTTTCACTCCTTTCAAAAGCCAGTCACAACCCAGTAAAACTACCTAGCGGAGTCATTCTCTGCCGTCCAGCGAAGCTTTTCTTCCCTTCTGAGCAACGAAGGAAGTGTCGTCATATGTCACTTCCTCCTAGCGCTGCCGCAGAGGAAGGAAGAATGAGCCTGAGGGCCATGGGACCGCTTTGTAAGTGCACCACCTTAATGACATTGGCTGGCCACAATAATACAAATATTAAGGCCGGCCTTAGTTGCAGTCCCAGCCCTGTTAACATTTATATTAGTACAGCTAGTGGTGTTTATTAAGCTATGTTGTCAGGGCACCGGATGTCTTATTGGGGTATTAGAGAGGCCTGAGGGGGCACTTGCCCCATGACCCAGTCTGTGTCCCAGACCACGACCCACTTTTTGGGTCTTGCCTAAAGACAGAACCATGGGTCACGACCCATTACCTGAGAAATGAATGAGTATTGCCATGCATATCACTGAGGTAACTTAACAGATTATTTTTTTTTTTTTTCAACAGATGGACCTTATGGGCAATGTTTACAAGCTGCTTATCGTTCCCAGTTAGATTCAGAAGAAAGAGATTGTACCAATAATGGCAATACGGAGGAGACAAACACTATAGACTGGAATTCAGAAAACAGGTTTACACCTCCTAAAGTATCTAGTATCAGCAGTTGCGAGGCTAACTCTTCACCTAAAAGAGAGAGTTCAGACAAAATATATGGACAAAAGAATATGACAGTAGAAACCTGGGGCTCTACACAAAGTAGAGAATTTTCAGCTATGCAGAATAATGAAACTTTAATCCATGAACCTCTGTCTAGTACATTTTTAGGAGCAGAAATAAAGGATGAACAAATTAATTTTGAATATGCGATGGATGGCTGTGAAGATACAACAGTAAAGATCAGTAGCTCTGATCAGGGAGATAGTCCATCTCTAGACAGCATCCAAAACCTTTTCTCAGGCATACTTCAAAAAACATGCAGCCATAATGCATGGAGCAAACAAGAGTGCTTACTGGACAGCCATCAAATAAAAACAGGAAAATATTACAGACTCTTTTGTGGAGAACAAGTATACTTTAGATTTTATGCCACAGTCCTTTTCAGAGAAACCTCAACACATACCCATACTGGATGACCATCAACCTAAAATGACAGAATTAATTGACTCTAATTTGTTGAACAGTCATACTTTAGATCATGTTCAAACCAACAAAAGATGCTCAATAATTGGTCACGAAATCAAGAACAAAGAGGAGAGTGACTTTCGTCTGCAGAGTGACCATAGCTTAAGTCTCACAAATATTTTAAAAGACATACCTCCAAAAACACATAAAAAGACTGAACTTAAAATACAAGAGTGCTCACGAGATGGTCATCAAACCAAGACTATAGACACAAAGCAAAGTTCCTTGGAGAACGATGCTAAAAGTATCTCAAACATCTTTCAGAACGTGTTTGAAAAAGCTCATATAAAAAGAGAACCAACTTACCAAGTGTGCTCAACAATGAAAGTAGGGATCAATGACTCTTTAGTGGAGGGCAATGATGCTTTCTATGCGCTCCCAAACTCTTTTGCAGATGGGCTTCAAAGAACCTGTCTAAAGACAGAACCAGTCCACCAAGAGCACGATACAAATAGTCTTCAACAGAAAACAATGGATAAAAATGACTCTGCTCTGGTGGACAGTCATATTTTCTGGCTGTGACACAAGACCACTACAATGTCATGGCAAGAGACAATTAACCTATCAAGAATGTTCAATGCACAGTCCGCAAACTAAGATAGTAGAATTCTTCCATACTACTCCAGAAAACAATAGCAATTTGAGTATAGATTGGCAAGCAAACATTAAGCCTTCAATCAGTTTAGATCACCAGTATTTAATCAAGGAACCTGTACAGCATAGTAAAAACAGCACTTGGAAAACAGGAAGAGTTCAGCCCAACAGTAAGCCACTGAAAATGGTATCATGTAGTGACTGTGGAAAAATGTTCTCCTGTAACTCCTATCTTTCAAGACACCAGAGACTTCATACTGGAGAAAAAAAACCCTTCACATGTTCAGAATGTGGCAAAAGCTTCTCTTGGATGTCATCCCTAGTGACGCACAAGAGGACACACCCTTGGGGAGAAGCCTTTCTCCTGCAAGCAGTGTGGGAAAAGATTTTCTGATTACTCTGGTATTATCAAACATCGAAGAAGCCACACGGGGGAAAAACCTTATTCTTGCCTCATGTGCGGTGAACGCTTTGCACAGACTTATCAACTAGTCAAGCACCAGGCTGTCCATTTGGTTGAAGATGTGGCAGAAAAGTCCTAACCAGTAATTTTACATTACAGCTTTACTCTGTATTCAAAAAGTTTATATGCAAGAATAATTAAATGGAATATTCAATCTGAAGAGCCCAAATCCGCTCATTCTTTCAGATTAAACATCAGTTTTATAGGGACAATACATTACAAGTGTTCTTCAAAAAGTTTCCACACTTTTTAACTCTATTACATATACACACACATACATACACATACACACACACACGATATAAAGTAAAAAAATCTAGGATTTATATAGCGCCAACAGTTTGTGCAGCGCTTTACAAAATGAAGGTAGACATTACAGTTACAATACAATTTGGTACAAGAGGAAACAGAGGGCCCTGCCCGTTAGAACTTACAATATAGGAAAATATCAGATTTCCGTCATGTAAAAAAATTGGACAGAGATAAATAATTTCAGAACTTTTTCCACCTTTAATGTGACCTATACACTGTACAGCTCAATTGAAAAAACAAAACTGACATCTTTTAGGGAGGGGAAGTAAACAAAAAACTAAAAAAAAAGGTGGTTGCATAAGTGTGCACACCCTCTTATAACTGGGGATCTAGCGATGTTCAGAATTAAGCAATCCCATTCAAAATCATGTTAAATAGAAGCCAGCACACATCTGCCACTATTTAAAGTGCCTCTGATTAACCCCAAATAAAAGTTCAGCTGTTCTAGTAGGTCTTTCCAGACATTTTCTTAGTCACATCCTACAGCAAAAGCCATGGTCCGCAGAGAGCTTCCAAAGCATCAAAGGGATCTCATTGTTAAAAGGTATCAGTCAGGAGAAGGGTACAAAAGAATTTCCAAGCCATTAGATATACCATGGAAACCCAGTGAAGACAGTCATCATGAAGTGGAGAAAATATGGCGCAACAGTGACATTACCAAGAACTGGATGTCCCTCCAAAATTGATGAAAAGAAAACTAGTCTGGGAGGCTGCCAAGAGGCCTACAGCAACATTAAAGGAGCTGCAGGAATATCTGGCAAGTACTGGCTGTGTGGTACATGTGACAACAATCTCCTGTATTTTTCATATGGCTGGGCTATGGGGTAGAGTGGCAAGACGGAAGCCTTTTCTTAAAGAAAAACATCCATGCCTGGCTAAATTTTGCAAAAACACATCTGAAGGCATGTGGGAAATGTCTTATTATCTGTTGAAACCAAGGTTGAACTTTTTGGCCATAAGTCCAAAAGATATGTTTGGCACAAAAACAACACTGCATATCACCAAAAGAACACCATACCCACAGTGAAGCATGGTGGTGGCAGCATCATGCTTTGGGGCTGTTTTTCTTCAGCTGGAACTGGGGCCTTTGTCAAGGTAGAGGGAATTATGAACAGTTCCAAATATCAGTCAATATTGGCACAAAACCTTCAGACTTCTGCTAGAAAGCTGAACATGAAGAGGAACTTCATCTTGCAGCATGACAACCCAAAGCATACATCCAAATCAACAAAGGAATGGCTTTACCAGAAGATTAAAGTTTTGGAATGGCCCAGCCAGAGCCCAGACCTGAATCCGATCGAAAATCTGAGGGCTGATCTGAAGAGGGCTGTGCACAGGGGGATGCCCTCATAATCTGACAGATTTGGAGTGTTTTTGCAAGGAAGAGTGGGCAAATATTGCCAAGTCAAGATGTGCCATGCTGATAGACTCATACCCAAAAAGACTGAGCGCTGGAATCAAATCAAAAGGTGCCTGAACAAAGTATTAGTTTAAGGGTGTGCACACTTATGCAACCATATTTTAGTTTTATATATTTACTTCACTCCACCTCAAAAGATTTCAGTTTGTTGTCCAACTGAGTTGTACAGTTTATAGGTTACATTAAAGGTAGAAAACGTTCTGAAATGATTTACCTTTTTGCCTAATTTTTTTTTTACATCACAGAAACCTGACATTTTAACAGGGTGTGTAGACTTTTTATATCAACTGTATACACACAGATATATATATACATATATATATATATATATATATACAGTTGTGTCCAAAATTATTCAACCCCCAATGCTGGTAAAGGGGTTTAGGGACTATAGTGTACATTTGGGAATTGTATTCAGAATCAAATCCTACAAGGACGTTGTAAACTACCCAAATGCAACTAAAATGACATCAATTGTTTATGTAAATACAGTAGTAAATGGTTCTTATGTGGTTTCTTCTTCATTGCCACAATTATTTCAACCCCTTAAAGACTACCTACTCTGAAGAACAGAGGTTCATACAGGTGCTTTCCATCAGGTATTGAAAACACCTGTGGATGTCACCGAGCAGCAATCAAGCATAATAAGCACCAATTAGGCAGCTTTTTAAAATGACTGTGATACTCAGCTCCTTCTAGACATTTACTGGTGTGGTTACAAACATGGTGAAGGCAAGAGAATGGTCCAGGAAGACAAGAGAAGAGGTGATTTCTCTTCACAGGAAGGGCAATGGCTATAAGAAAGATTGCAAAGATGATTAAACATACCAAGAGACACCTTAGGAAGCATCATTCGCAAATTCAAGGCAAAGGGCACTGTTGAAACGCTACCTGGTCGTGGCAGAAAGAAGATGCTGACTTCGACTGCTGTGCGCTACCTGAAGCGTAGAGTGGAGAGAAGTCCCCGTGTGACTGCTGAGGAACTGAGAAAAGAGATTTGTCAGATGTGGGTACAGAAGTTTCAGCCCAGACAATAAGACGCACACTGCGTAATGAAGGCCTCCGTGCCAGAACTCCCAGGCGTACCCCCTTGCTGTCTCCAAAGAATAAGAAGAGTCGACTGCAGTATGCCAAAAGCCATGTGGACAAACCACAAAAGTTGTGGGATAGTGTTTCTGTGGACTGATGAAACAAAATTAGAACTGTTTGGGCCCATGGATCAACGCTATGTTTTGGAGGAGGAAGAACAAGGCCTATGATGAAAAAAAACACCTTGCCTACTGTGAAGCATGGTGGAGGGTCAATCATGCTTTGGGGCTGTTTTGCTTCTGCAGGTACAGGGAAGCTTCAGCGTGTGCAAGGTACCATGAATTCTCTTCAGTACCAGGAGATTATTGGATGGAAACGTGATGCAGTCCGTCACACACCTGAGGCTTGGGAGACGTTGGACCTTTCAACAGGACAATGATCCCAAGCATACCCTCCAAGTCCACTAGAGCATGGTTGCAGAGGAAAGGCTGGAACATTTTGGAGTGGCCATCGCAGTCACCAGACTTAAATCCGATTGAGAACCTCTGGTGGGACTTAAAGAAAGCAGTTGCAGTGCGCAAGCCTAAGAATGTGACTGAACTGGAGGCCTTTGCCCATGAAGAATGGGCGAAGATACCCGTAGATCGCTGCAAAGACACTTGTGTCAAGCTATGCTTCACGTTTAAAAGCTGTTATAACTGTAAAAGGATGCTGTACTAAGTACTAAGATTGAATGTCACTTGGGGGTTGAATAAAACTGATAATGCTGTGAGCACAGAAAAGACATTTGTGGTTATTTCATTATAACTGTTATGTTATATTTGTGTCTGACCTACAAGTGCCTCTTTAATGTAAATGTAAGCAAGATGACTGAATGATCAAAAGCAATGTCAAACTGGCCAAAACACTCAATTTCAGTGGGGGGTTGAATAATTTTGGACACAACTGTATATACACACACACACAAACATATACACACACACATACAGTTGCAAGAAAAAGTATGTGAACCCCTTGGGATTACGTGGACTTTTGCGTGAATTGAGCATAAAATGTGCTCTGAACGTCATCTAAGTCACAACAATAGAAGAACACAGTCTGCTGAACATAATACTACACAACATTAGATGTTGCCATGGCTTAATTGCACATAACATGTAAACATTCACAGTGCAGGGAGGAAAAAGTATGTGAACCCATTTGGACTTAATAACCGGTTGACCCTCCTTTGGCAGCAATAACCTCAACCAAACGTTTCCTGTAGTTGCAGATCAGACCTGCACAGCGATCTGGAGTCATTTTGGACCACTCCTCTTCACAAAACTGTTTTTACAGTGTAGCAATATTCTTGGGATGTCTGGTGTGAATCGCTCTCTTAAGGTCATGCCACAGCATTTCAATGGGGTTGAGGTCAGGACTCTGACTGGGCCACTCCAGAAGGCGTTTTCTGTGCTGTTGCAGCCATTGTTTTGTTGAATTACTTGTATGCTTTGGGTCACCTCTGACGGCAGCTTGTCCTGTTGCATCACCCATCCTCTGCGTGAGCTTCAGTTGGGGGACAAGACAGTCGTACGTTTTCCTGCAAAATGTCTTGATAAACTCTGGAATTCATTTTCCCATCAATGACAACAATCCGTCCAGGCCCTGAGGCAGCAAAGCAGCCCCAAAACATGATGCTCCCTCCGCCATGTTTTACAGTGGGGATGAGGTTTTGATGTTGGTGTGCTGTGCCTTTTTTTCTCCACACACATAGTGTTGTGTGTTCTTCCCAAACAACTCAATCTTGGTTTCATCTGTCCACAGTATATTCTGCCAGTAGTGCTGTGGAACATCCAGGTGCTCTTTTGCAAACTTCAAACGTGCTGCAATCTTCTTTTTGGACAGCAATGGCTTCCTCCGTGGTGTTTGGGGTCCTCCCATGTACTCCATTCTGTTTCATGTTTTTCCTTATTGTAGATGTGTCAACAAAAATGTTAGCATATGCCAGAGATTTCTGTCGGTCTTTAGCTGGTCTTTCTGGGATTCTTCATTTACCATTCTGATCTGATTCTTCTTTACCTCATGCAGCTGTGCGCTGTGCTCTTGCAGTCATTTTTACAGGACGAACCACGCCCTAGGGAGAGTAGCAACAGTGCTAAACTTTCTCTATTTGTAGACAGTCTGTCTTACCGTGGACCTCATGAACATCAAGGCTTTTGGAGATACTTTTGTAACCCTTTCCAGCTTCATGCAAGTCAACAATTCTTGATCGTAGGTCTTCTGAGAGCT